TGAAGGGTGTTGCTGCATAAAATAAGTTTGTAAATAAGAGCGAAATTAATATTTTGGATCAGAATCTGTGATAAGCGTGATAAAAAAAAAGGCTGTCGCTGTTTATCACCAACACCAGAGCCAAAAAATAAAAGAACAACACATGGGACCATCGTTTAGGGACCATCTGTTCTCATAAAAAAGCTTTCATTCAGTATTAAAGTCACTGGTAAACCCATGTTTCTAACAACGCTCTGCTGCAACAACGGTGCAGTTCATGGAGAGGTTACTGGAGCAGGTTGGAGGGATTGTAACACTGACTGGAAGACAGCAGATGAAAAATTAAAAGACAAAATAAACAAGAAAAGACACAATAGGTCTAAGCAAGGCAGACAAACACAAGAAACAGACATGAAAGATCCCATTGTCAAAAAAATTGTGCATATGCTAAAATATCAAAACACCTTTAAGTTTTTTAACAATATATCTCCACATATTGAGGCAATTCTAGACTTTTGTTGTTGCATTGTGACTTTTGACATGTAGCTTTTTGTTTCTGTGTTGTGACTTCTGTTGTTCTTTGTGGCTTTGCATTTATTGACCCTTCTGGGCTGCGGTACATATTGGACAGCACTGATGATAACCCCGAACATGTTGTAACTTTGATGTGATTAAGATGTTGACACACTGTGAACGGTGGAATCTGTGAGCGAACCAAACCAGATGCTGTGAGATATTTTAAAAACCAAACGGCGTCAGATCTGCTTGCTCCAACAGTTCTGACGTATTAAAAGGAATTTAAATATATTTGGAGGATTTTTTTTATCCTCTTTTAATTTGTTTCTGGATGCTGTGGTACTTTTTCAATTTTTACTGCCTGGGATGATGCTTAACCATAGCAACGAGGAAGTTGTTGACAAGCACCAGCGGCTTATCGACGTTTGTAAAGCTGAGTTATTATCCAGAATCTTTTGTCACACAATATTGAATCACTTATTGAATGAGAACAATAAATCAGGAAACATTACTGTTGATTTAACCTGACAGATAAATCTGGGATAAAACTCTGTAGCTTGTCAGTAATGGATTCTCTCACCTGAGTTTGTGAGCTATTTTAGGAGCTGAAAGAGGGAAAATCCTGATTTGTTATCCCCAGACGAGGTGGCACGGCTGCGTCACATAACCCTCTGTTTTTATTTACATTTATTTTTAGTTTTTTTTCCCAGCTGATGGGTCACAGCGGCACGTTTGACTCCATGTGCCACAGGAGTCATGCATGAACACACAGATTTAATTACTCAGTATTAACGTTCAGCATGTCTCACCCCAGATATAAATAGATGATGTGGGAGTGCATGTGGATTGGAGCTGCTGATGCTGAGGTTCGTGTTTGCACGCTGCGGTCACATGCTCCCAGCGGCCAATTAGGGAGCGCCGCTGAGTTTCACAACCGCTGATTGTGATTAATTTTATTTTTTATTCAAAGACCAACAAGAAGAAATTTCTCAGTTCATCTCAGTTCGACTGGCTGGAGAAGATCTGAAAAAGTTATTTTTAAAAATTTACTACAGATTTCGGACTTGGACTGGGCCATTTTGACACATAATTAGCATAATGCTGCCACCACTGTGTTTTGGAGTGTTTTTTTAACAGAACAATTTCTCACTCATACATGTTTGCATTATCCCCTTGACAGCTTGATGAAAAACTGCAAACTTACTTACTTCGTCTTTTCCTCTGCAGTTTTGTCGCCACTTTTAAAGAACAGATTTAGAGCTGAACAGATTCTCCCACCTGAGCTGGGAATCTCTGTTGCTCCTCCAAAATTGCAATTCAGCTCAAAAGTACTTTATTCATTCCAGAAGGAAAATTAAATGCCATTCAAAGTAAGAGTCATTATGGATGATAATGCTGTGGATAGCAATGATCTCCCATAGCAGTCAGTCTTCCAACTAATCTGAAGAGGCCTCTGACTGAAGAGTTGCTGTAGGACAGTTTCTGACATGCTAACAGCTGAATTTATGGACAATTTTAGGACTTGTCCTGGATGACACCATCAGTTGTTGTCGGAATGCATTATGGCTTAAAAATAAAATCTCCAATTTGTTTAATTTCAAATCCAATTTAAAAATTTATTTTTTGCTTTCTTTTCTAAAAATAAACAAATTACAAATGAAAGAAAGCATTTTTGAAAAATGTCTTTATTTTAGTCATGTCTTCTGTAGAGTATCAGCATCAGGCTATGAGAATATCATCAGAACAAAGATTCAGTTTTACCAGAAAAAGTCTTAAAATTACAAGAAAAAGTTATTTCAATGAGACAAAATGATTCATTTTATTTTTTATTTTTTAATGTATTGTATGGTTCTCATAAAAAAAATACTGTTATAGTCCATGACTGATATGACAATTAATAAAAAGTAATGTTTAATATCATACATCAGCACAAACATACAATCCCTTACAGATATTTCTAAATTAGCACCACAAAATCTGTGATTTTGATTACATCAAAAACAATCACAAAATCCTTGATTAACTGATCAATGTGAAAGGATGTTCAATATCATTTAATTTTAAGAAACACTTATTGAATGTGGAAACAAACAGTTAATTATTGATATTTTAACAGTTGGTTTTATCGATGCATTCTGGCATATTCCGAGTTTTGATTTGGCCCAAAATGAAATTTAGTTCAACACGCTTGTTTCACAGTGTAACAGCAATAATATTTAAATCAACATATCAAGCGACACGAAGTAACATATCGTCAAATCTTCCCGTGAAGGGAATCAACATAAAGATGGAATATGATCAATTTAATGTGATTTAAAGGTAAATCTGTGTAATCTGGTGGTGGTTTTGCTGCTTGAATAAATCAGAGGCCTTGACTCTGCAGGCAGCAGACCGTCTTCCCGGCAGCTCATCACCATCACACTTCGCTCTCCGAGAGGACGCGGGTGTGAAGTCGTGGGCTGTGAGCAGCGCCGAATGTTCTCTCATTCATCTCCGACTGTTAAATAACCAGAATGAACTGGAGCAGAAAAGTTGTCACAACAGGAGAACATCTCTGCTCAGCCAACAGGAACATTTTACAAACCAAATGTGAGCTCGAGCTCACCTGCAACTGACTGTACGTTACGCACGAGCGCGCCAACATGATGCAAGACGTTTTCCTTCCGCCATGAGGCGCAAAACAGGAAGCAGAACCAGCGCAGTGGAAACGAACCAACACATTTCAGTGCAATGAAGAGCCACCATTTTATCTTTATTTAACCCCATCCTGTCTGGGACATTTCAGTAGTAAAAAAGTTTATGTCTTTTAAAAACCTGGTTTATTTTATATTACTGGTTATTAGTTCTATTCTCACTTGTGTAGTTTTACTTTTAGTAGTTTATTATTGAATCATTCTTTCCTTTTTTGTAGTTTTCTGAGTGGTTGAATTATTATTCTTGTATATTGGGAAAACGTTTTATTTATCGAAACTTTTCGTCACATGGAACAAAATTGACAACTCAGAATTACTTGGAAAATAAGAAAAATAAGAACAATATAACAATTTAAAATAAAATTTTAAGCATAAATAAGTGGTTGTGTAAATTAATGTATCCCCAAAAATAAAAAAAAATTATTTTGCACATTTGCTTTGTTAAAAGAAAGACAATCAAATTGTGTGTTTTTGGAAAAATATATATATTTATTTTAAAAAATGGATTGTTTTCACTTTTTGTAAAAAAAAAAAAAAAAAAAAAAAAAACTTAGATGTCATTTTTATTATTAATTTTTGGTTGACCAAATTCGAAATTGATCATTTTTAAAGATAATAATAATAATAATTTTTTGACCCGACAATACTTTAAACTGAGTTTTTCCCAGAAATTGTTTTGTGGGTTTATTCTCTGCTTGAAAGATGTTCATTTTAACAGTTGCATCAAATCTCTTTATTTTTCTTGATAGTTTTACTCACTGGGGAAATGTTTGTGGAAAATAAATTTTCTAGATTCCTTGCAAACAGATTTGAACACAGCCAATAACATAACTTAATGTCTATATTTTGTTTTTATGTTTAAACTAAAACTAATACAACTTATAGCAGCAATATGGCTGCAAAATATTTCTCATATTTGCTGAATTTATTGTAAGTGTCAAAAGTTTATTTTATTTATTAATTAGATGATGGTAATAAATCCTGAAAATCCCAATAAGAAAAGGTGGAATATTTGGTTTTGTTTTCATATTGGAAACTCTGAGCCTCACTGATGGATCATGTTCCAAGCTGAGCATTATATCCTTAAAAGCAGATGTTATAAATCCCAGCAGGGCCACCAGGATTTAGCCTGATCCAATTGGCTTCAGGAATCATTACACAGATATGACCAAAGTAAAAGGATCTGCACAGATTTTAGAAAGCAAATGCCGACATTTTTAATCTGGATGCCTCAGAAAAGTATTCATAAATCCAATACTTTACAACCAGAAACTTACATTAATTATAAAGAAATTTGATGGGATAGACCAAAATAAAAGTTGTGCAAATGAAAAACGGCAGCAAAACTTAATTTAAAACCAATAAAAACAATTGCTCTCCATCCACTATGACTCAGGTTGAACTATTTAAGAGGAATGTGAAGCAATTTCAGTAAAACATGGTTTTACAAACAGTTGTAAATGTAAATGCACTCCACACTTTTCAGATTTTTTTGTAAATCACAAAAAGCTTTGCAATTACTTTGTGCGTTGCGTTACAAATACAAACAGCGCTGAGACCCTCCTTCCGGTGTTGATTGGTTGTTTTCGGTGCTTTTCTTCAGATGACAACAGTAGCTCAGGAGGATGTGGATGAGGCAGATTTTTTTCACAAATTATGTAAATAATCTCTAAGAAAGAAAAACCCATATATATTTTGAATTAGCATTTCCCATGAAGGGATGTTAATCCTCCCTGTAAGTGAACTGAATGCATCCAGTCACTGTTGGGACTCGGTGTATCGTCGCTGTCATGTTTTATTTTTTATTTTCAGCTCATTAGCCTCGCTGCACGACTTCACGACGCTGCTGCAGAGCCAAAGTGACGGCTGCAAACGAGCCTCTGGCGAAACGCTTATCGTCCGAGTCAGAGGATGGGGGGGGGAGCGGGGTCAAGGTCGCGAAGGCCTGCATGCAAACTCAGCTGTTTCAGGTGTTGGGAAGCCGTCGCCGTGGCAACAAGGGATAAGGTGGAAGCAGAATCAGAAAACGTGTCCTCCTCTGTGAGCTGACAGCCAAAAACAACAAAACAAAGCAAGACGAGCCCTCCAGGTTAGCGCGATGTTTCACAGCCTCAGCAGTGAATCATCACATCCAACTGCTTCGTTCTGATTTTAATCAGTCAGTAACAGGAAGGACACAACTTCATCTCTGCAGCCTGCTCCCAACACGCAAACATGGAAAAAACGCATGTCATCCTCAGAAAACACCACTTTGCTTCATCTTTACGTCAGTTTAACGAGACCACTGGAGCATAAACACCAAAATGTCACAGCTCCAACATCTGAAAAAGGTCAGAGAGTGTGTGAGAGGAGCGCTCAGTTTCAGCCCAAATATTTAAGGAAGCGGGTCGGTTTTGATCGGAGGGTTTCTGACTCTTGGAGATCTGTTTATCAGGAACCACAGATCAACTGGAGTCAATAGGAGTGTAGAGATCCTGCAGCTCCGCCTAGTGGACACAAAGTTAGGTTCAGAGCAAGCTGCCAATTAAAACTACACTGCAAAAAATACATAATCTTACTATTATGATCTAGTTTCTGTGCAAATATCCGAGTTCACTTTAAAAAAGACAAAACTAACTTACAAGTAAGTTTTCAACAAGATATAGGAGATTGTTTTAAGTCAATTTGATATGTGGAAAATATCTTATAAGTACAATAATCTGCCAGTGGAACCAGTTCTTTTTCACCAATATTAAGGAATTATTGATTTTTTTAAAAAACAACAACTTCAGTTTATTTTGAACCAATAACATTGCAATTAAACTAAATAGTTTTTGAAATATTAAAGAAAGTAAAAAATTCAGAATTTTTTGTGAAAATTTTGAGTTTTAGCTCATTAACATGTGCCACCCTGTTTTTAGAGGAACCGATAATTGGATAATTAATTTAGGGTTTTTAGGGTTTTCCTATCTGACAGTCCAAAAAACTCGGTTCCTTTGTTACGTTTTCAGCTGGTGTGGTTCCCTTTCACACTGCATTGTCAAACAAACCAAACACTTTGAAAAAACTGTTTCCTCCTCGCCTGTGGTGGCTCTGAAACAAGAACCACAAAAACCTCTGAAAAATACACAAGTGCATCTTCCTTTGTAACAAATGTAATCAAAAATGGAGTAGCATCAGATTTTAGCAGTTGTTTCACACTAACCCAAACAAACTGGAGTTGGATTAAAGAAGGAAGTGTGATGGCTGCCACTAGTTTATATTATAAACTAGCATAATTAATGCCGAACCAAGCTAGGAAGACGCAGAATGGAGGATTGATGCCTGGATACTGTGATAAGTGAGCATCAGAGGAAAAAAGACGAGCCAACCTAGCACCTCATGACCTTCTAGGAATGTCTCTACGGAGGGAAATCAACGAAGGAAAGTCCTCCTCTCCAGTGGATTTGGCTTCTGCATATGCTGCGATGGATTACACTGATCCAACTTAATGCCCACAGTGACGCAATCATTCATAACTACAGGAGCTGCTGAGGGCTGAGGATGCTCCCTGGACCATCTGCCGTGGACGGCAGGATTAACTTCCAGGAAGATGGCGCTGAGGTGGGGGTGGAGCTGCATAAAGACCTGGTGAAACCTCACAGGTTACGGCAATAAAGGGCACTTCCTCTTACCAATAGTCTCGGAATTTGTTTGTATTTTGCTTCAAATCTATGACGGAGACAAACTAGTTAATGATTCTGAAGAAAAGGGAAACTGAAACACATTCAAATCTTAAAGGTGTGGTGTGCATTTGCATTCAGCCGTCTTGTGCAATGAAATTAAAATTGCCCTTTCTTCTTCCCCAAACCACTCAAACTGAGTCAGGTTGGACAGAAGGAGTCACCAATACTGAACTTGTGCAGAAAATTTTGATTTGGGTTCATGTATGAACTTTGACTAGGACCTTCTCTAAAATCAGCCAAAATTGTAAAATCAAAAGGTCTTGATGGCCAACAAAATGTTCATTCACCTACTCATCACTAACCTAAGCATTCAGCACTTTAATTAAACAAATAACATAGTTGGGAATTAAGTCACATTTCATGGGAACTGCGGCGTTACCTAGCAACCCTCGCCAAGTCCAGCCCGTCACCTAGCAACCCAAGCGGAGCTCCAGCATGTTTGGTGAGATGTACAATGGCTGCTGTTATTGTTGACTTGCCATTCAGAAACCACTTTCTGCATTCTGGTTGGTTGTGCAGAGGGCTCCACTTCTGCTTCTCAAAAATGTCAAAAACAGCTCATTCTGGAAGGAACTCAAAATAGGCAGAAATTATCTAACAATGATTTTGTGTAAAGAAAATGTAATGAACATGTTTTGTGCAACCCAAAGTGAGACCAAAAGGGAAACTAAATCCTTGTTTTCCTCCGTGTTTCTTGTCTCCTCAGAGAGTCGAAGCCCTGCCCTCCGACCATCAGGAGTCAATCGGACCGCAGGAACAGAACCATCTGCTGCGCTTCCAGTCAGCATCAACATTCCTGTTCTTGGAACTCTGTGCCTTCAACCAAAACTCATCCTGTGTTTTTGGGTTTTTACTCTTCCCTTGGAGCAGCTTTCGGATGATTTTATTTTTCTTCCTGACGGATGAAGGAGGGCCTGGGAATGGAGCTGCTGTCTGTCTGTGGAAACGAAAAAAAAAAATCAAACACATCCAGGATTTTCATCTTTGGATCGTTTTAATGTGTTTCTTTTTTCTACAGATCGTGTCAGTGATTTACTTCCTATTGAAGGAAATCCCTCGCTGTGCAATATAAGTCCATATTTCTGTGAAGTTGTCATGTGGATGTAGAAGCTGAACAAACATTTTGGTTTATTTTTGTAATAATGTTTTTCTGATTTCTATTTTTCTAAAACAATGTGAAACAGATGAAGGGGAAAAAATAAGAACATTTTGAAGGAGAACGGGTGTTTGGATGTTGTTTTTTCTCTGATACTTCCCCTTCCAAAGCCATCAGAGACGATGCATTCAGGGTCACACAGTCTGGGACGGACACATCAGCTCGTCTCAACTGGAGCTACTTTTTAGGTGATGTCTTCTGTAAGTTCAGGCGCGTAAATCTGAAGTGTTTAGTATTCTCTACCTTCGTGTGGCCTGTTCTTCTTGCTGTCCTTTTGTACCTACATATCAATCAGGAAATGGGAAGTCAGAAAAAAGAACAAGTTTGTTCTCCAGAAAAGATGAAAAACACTGAGTTCTCAAACAGAGTCTAAAGTAAATGACAAAAAGCTTGAAGTTGAGTTTACACTGCATTTATTTTAATATTTCTTTTAGGTTTTTAACTAACTCACAAACTAACAAAAATATTTAAAGACACCCGTAGAAACTTCTGCCTCCTCATGTTATCACTTTCCTGGAACTTCCATGTTACTTTCATAAATCCTGAAGGTCATTTTCTGGAAGAGGGTGCTTTACAAAAAGTTGAAGGTTACTTTCTTTAAACCCTAGATCTACATTTCAATAATTAACATGTTACCTTATGATTCTTTAATTACTTAAGTGTTTTTAAATTAGAAGATACTTTTCTTCTCCAGTGCTCTCTAGTAACATTCAATTGCATTTCATCAAAATCTACTATCCTAAAACTTGGATAGTTGCAAGTTACTTTTCAATAATATGTAATTTTCTTAAAGGTAACATGTAAGTTACAGGAAAATATCATGTAAGCAGCAGGTAAACAACAAATAAATAGTCTCATTAAGTACATTTTGAGTCACTGGAACATTTACTTAAAGTCCTAGAAAGTTAAGAGGACATAACGTGAAATCCTGGCTGTTCCCTTTGAGATACAGTAAAGTAATCAACATTCCCATGATAAATAACCTAAAAATCCCATTAAAGTAGCCTGAAAGTGTCCCATTAAAGTAGCCTGAAAGTGTCAGGACAGTAATAAGTCAATTCTTGAAATCTGTAGAAAGCGCCATTTAAGATTCAAGGAAATAAGCAGTGGTGGACATTTAGCTAATTTACTTGGTTGTTTTACTGAACTTTCAGTTGAATAAACTGAATTGACATATGTCTTGATGTCTTGATGTTTTGGGTATCAACTGTTAAGAATTATTCATGCTTTTATTTTGAAGTGAGTGAAGACGGTTCCATTTCCTCTCCTCATGTTCTCCATCTGTGATGCTCTGCAGCAATAGAGGTTTATTCTGCACCCAGAATTCGCCATAAACAGTTTAAATTCTGCTGATGTCCTGCATGTTTTCTGACCGAAGTCAAGTTATCAATACTCAACAATCTAAAACATGAGTGAAATATCTGCCCCAAAGAATCACTTCCAGAAGTGAAACTGAATAAGTGTGCAAAAACAAATTTGTCCCAACAGAGGGTTATGCCAACATATTAACATAGTTATGCCAACATATTAACATAGTTGAATTTAGCACTAGCATCAGCTTCTGCTAAATACTATTGGTAGTGCTTCAACATTAGCTGAACTAATGTTTATGATTAGTGCTTTAGTGCCATATGGTTGTATGAACAAAAGTTCTTGTACTGAAGTGTTTTTTTTTTCATTTTCTGCTTCAGTAGTTACGCTCATTTCATGTTTCTGCTCATAATGGAACAATACTCAAACTTTATTCAGGTAATCTGTAACACGTCTTCCACAGAATGGAAAAAAGGAAGCTTTTTAATCTAATGCAACATGACGGAGAAAATTAGGTTTAATTGGCAGTTAAGATTATTTTAAAAATCCAATCGATTTTCAGTAAAAGGGCTCTGTTTGAGAATTTTCTCCTGTTCTGTTACTTGTCTGCTGTTTTCTGCACTTGTAAACTGTGCTCCATGTCTCCTTGATGCTGCTATCCAGGTCCTGTGTAGATCGATGTTCAGCCTGAGTCCTGGCACAACTTCCTTCTACGTTTTTAGCACTTCTTCTACGTTTTTACTGGATCCATTGATTTGATCATAATGTCATATCAATCAATCCATGGTAATTCTGTTCAGTTTGTGCCTCCAGTGAATGCAAATTCATAGATGTATATTTATTTTCGGTTTGGAAGCAAAGATATCCCTTTGGCTCCAAGTGTACATGGGCATTAAAGTGTACAGTAATTTAGTAAACTGCTGTAGGACCTTAATAATTATATGGATTATAAGCATGAACATCCATAAACTCAGGGGTCAATGTAATATTCTTCTCAGTCAGGCATAAGTTAGAAAAAAAGCCAAATATATTCAAAACAGTCAACATTTTATGTGCTACAAACAAATTTTCATCAAAATGCAACTTTGAGGGGTTTTATTACCTTGTTTTCTTAAGAATATGAAAAGAGAGTTTAAAAGCCACCCATTGAGACTGATGTTTGGCAAAGGAACCTTGGCTTTCAAAGGTCAAAGCCCAGAAAAAGATGTTTCATTTTAAAGATGATTTCCCAGTAAGCCTGACCCTCTAAAGGTTGGATCCTCTGAAGGGCCAGTCCATTATTACGTGGCTTTATCTTTGAGCTGTTTTGCCTTGACATAGAGGACATAAGTTACTATATATCACTGCCTACATCATGCTTAGACTTGTGTATTGTTGGAAATTGGGGGGTTTCCACAAACTGCTACAACTGCTTTACATTTCCACCAAGTTTGGCTCTGATTTGATATAGATCATTAATAAACAGTGAAAGTCAGAGTGATGGGAACTTAACAGGATGTTTCTCAAAACCAAGGACATTGGCTTTGATATTGAGACATAATGATGAGTTGGACTTGATTTCAAGAGGTTAATTCTCAAAATGACAAATTCTTCAAAGGTCTTACCCAAAAGAGGATGCCTGCTAAAGCTGAGTCCTCCTAAAGACGAGTTCATCAAACATTGTGCCAAGCAAATAGCAGGCTATCCAGTTACATAGTACTAAGAAGAACATGTCCCCTAAAGACAGACACTCAAAAACATAGGTTTTTTGAAAGTTGATTCCTTAAAGGTTTGGTCCAGGTCTTTAACCTTCTAAGAGACTAGCTCCTCGAAAGATGATTGCAGATTCTCTGAAAAAGGGACTCTTTCAGACCCGATCCTTCAGATGACAGATCCTCCAACAGATAGGCTCCCAACCCAAATATATTTCCAAATCCTTCAGGTCTTCTGAAGGATGGGTCTTTCTTTTTTAAGATGTCCTGTCGTTGGCACATCAGGGATCCCATATACAGAAAACAGTTGTCTAAATTTGCTCACCACATAGAATATCCTAAGATGGCATTTTAATTGCATGATTAATTTTAATCAGTGATAAAAGAAAGTCCAGACTCCATCATGCATCAAGGAAGGCCACCAATCACATTAATGTGATTGATGATTGGTAACTAGATTGTGTAATCTAGTAATATGGCTTTCAACCATCTGGATTATATTTGTCTGTCCGTGTATGTGTGTGTGTGTGAGTGAGTGTATGAGTACAAATAATTTGTGTTGAGATGGTGTATGTGAACGTGCCATCAGGCCAGGTAGGGCTCATTTCTGTCCCCCCTGGTGAGTTAGTCCCTAAGAGGTCAAGAGGGATGTCCACCAGTGTCCTGAGTGGGCCCTGTGGACCATGGCTGGCCTGTCACATTCTCTGGAGCCATAACCCCCTAGCAGGAGCCCACCACTATGGCTGTGACCCAAACAAGCAAGCCCTCCCAGCCTCAATGGTGCTGTCAGAGATCTCAGGCCAACCTACATCCCCACCCAACACCAAATCAGCATGGGCATGTCACATCGGCAGGTGCAGAAAAGGATGTCTAAGGTTTTATAAAATTGGGGTTGTTGCTGAGGTGTGTGAGATTCCACAACTTACTGACATCAAGTCTCCCCAATTGCAAAGCCCTATATGTAGTATACTAAAATTGGGTTTCAGGATGGGGTCAAACATTGTAGAGAGGGAAGCAATCCACCAATGCTTGCAAGACCCATCGTCTCACAAAGATTCTTCTGAAGTGTGGTATTGAGAGAAGGTGCTGGTTCGAATCCCATTGGGAGATGGGTCCTTCAAAAGACCTATCCTCCTACTGACAACCCCTACATGAAATTAGTTATTAGAAAGATTAAAAGTTGTAACCCTATCCTGTGAGTAACTGATCCAACAAACATTAAGCTCTGTGAGTGGTGGTGTTTCTGATGGTGTCAAGAGCCAATACAATAGCCAGTTGCAAGTTAAACTGGTGAACTGCTTTCGGTGCAAAAACTCCTTAGTGGGCTATGCTTTTATTTCATTGTTGATTGTTTGATCAGTGGCTCTGCAACACATGCAGCAGTTTCATGAAATCCAGAGTCTAAAGATATAGCCCTGATGTTTACATGAAATGTCTTGTGTTGTATCACATTTAGACACAAAATTAAAACTTTCCAACAAAAACTTTTTAATTTGGGTAATGATCATCAACAGCTGTTGGAGAAATCTGCTTCACTGCACACATTTTTCTGTCATTATACTAAAATAAACCTTAAGAGGCACAAACAGTGGAATCCACAAACTTGGCTGCTTCTGAAGATATATTTTCAGAGTTTGTAGACTCACCTGGTCAGTGTACATTTCTTTCTGCATGAATTTATGTGGCTCCGTCCTCAGCGTTCAGGTCCAACTGAAGACGTTGTGTTCAGACGTTTCTCATCTTCCTTGTGGAGTCGGCAAACTGCAGATCTCCAAGTACCTTCACTGACAACATCCCTCCTGAAAAAAAAGCTGCCAAACTTCTCTGAAGAAGCCAAACGTCTCTGTGTGTATCAGTGGTTTTAAGTGTTTCACATCATCCTGTTAATGTTTCATCGTGTTTTTAACTGCAACAACCCTGTTTGTTACGATGTTGGTCATATATGCAGAAGAGTTATCAAATAAACTGAAATAAACTCTTAAGACTCACTGAGAAAGAATGAGCTTCTTTATTCCGCCACCAGATGGCGCCAAAGATCATCTTTATTTAAAATCAGCCTCCAGAAGAAAATAACATCTGAAAGTGCTTTAACACAGCATCTATAAGCAAAGAGAATCTGGTTGTTCTATTTGTGTCAGACTCATTCAGTTAAGCACATATATTTTTGTTTTGGAATAACTGATTAAATCCCCCAAATGACACATGTTTGTGTATTTTCTGTAATGGGTTTGTTGATTAGGTTTACCTTTAATGCATCTCATGAAGCTGGTAAGTAGAAAAAACATAAAGTAAATAATTACATTTATGTTTATTGTGAAGATTTCCAGAAAATATTTTTGGGTTTAAACACAAAATGATTAAAGAGCAAAGAGAAAATCAAAGGTGATTTCATGATGTCTGTCTAGCTCTCCAGAGATTACATTTCCAACGGTCTTAAGTCTTTTACCAAATTACTTCTTTAACTGGGCTTTGTTTTCCCTGTTAGCTCTAGTTTATGTATTAGCTCTGGCTAACAGTGTTAGCTCTAGTTTACGGTATTAGCTCTGGCTAACCGTGTTAGCTCTAGTTTACAATATTAGCTCTGGCTAACGGTTTTAGCTCTAGTTTACTTATTAGCTCTGGCTAACGGTTTTAGCTGTGGCGAATGCATTGAACAGTAGCACACAAGCCAATCACAATTGTTCATTTAAGACCCTGGCCTAGAGGGAAGAAAGATAGGACTTCAGGGATCCAAGCCACTGTTGCAATTGACAAGAGGAGCTCCTGATGAGCACGGTGTACATCGGGGTTACATAGTTTAGGATTTGGGTTATCAGAGTTATTGTAGATTGTAATGGATGAAGGCACATATTGTACTGTTTGCTAGAATGAAAGATCTCTTCTTATAGAGTAAACCTGAGGAAGCCTCTAATTGAAGATGCTCCGCCTTCCCAAGACAGTCTCATGAAGAGGATGTTCAGGGTTGTCCATATTTTCTTGGTCCTATGAAGAATCCTT